AACCCCAGTCACAATAAAGATAGACCAAAAACAAGTGGAGAATGTGAAATGTTTTAAATATTTGGGTAGCTTGTTAACAGATGATGGAAGGTGTACTTGTGAAATTAAATCCAGGATTGCCATGGCAAAAGCTGCATTTAAGAAGAAGAATCTTTTTACCAGCAAATTGGACTTAAATTTGAGGAAGAAACTAGTGAAATGCTACATTTGGAGCATAGCTCTGTATGGGGCTGAAACATGGACACTTAGAGCAATAGATCAGAAACATCTGGAAAGTTTTGAAATGTGGTGTTGGAGAAGGATGGAGAAGATCAGTTGGACCGATTATGTGAGAAATGAAGAAGTGTTAATTAGAGTCAGTCAGCAGAGGAATATCCTACACGAAATAAGAAATGGAAGGCTAATTGGATTGGTCATAGCTTACGCAGTAACTGCCTTCTAAAAGAAGTTACTAAAGGAAAGATAGAGGGGCAGATAGAAGTGACCAGAAGATGAGGAAGAAGACGTAAGAAGATGCTGCATGACCTTGGGGACAGAAGAGTATATTCTCATTTGAAGGAGAAAGCTCTAGATCGCATTAAGTGGAGGAATTGTTTTGGAAGAGACTGTGGACCTGTCGTCTTGACAGATTACTGATGATGATGATAGTGGGAGTGCAAGAGATCAGAGGGGACAGGGTTGGCACTGAACCAGCAGGTGAATATGCATTATTGTATATATAGGGGAATGAGAATCATGAATTAGGTACAGTTTTGTGTGTGTGTGCACGCACGCCCGTGCGTGTGTGCGTGCGCGCATAAGAGAATCGGTTAAGAGGCTAGAGTTTGTTAGTAATATGTTGTTCTAAATACTAAGAGGTTGCTGGTTTGATATGATTGTTCTAAATGTTAATGCACCAACAGGATAAAAAGTGATGATTTGAAGGTCAGCTTCTGTGGGGAACTAGAAAGTGTATTTGATAAATTCCTAAAATACCACATTAAAATTTTGTTAGAAAATTTCAGTGACAAAGTATGCAGAGAAGATATTTTAAACCAACAATTGGAATCAAGAGTTTATGTGAAATTATTAAAGAAAATGGAGGAAGGGTAGTAAATTCTGCCACATCAAAAAATCCAATTGTCAGAATGTTCCCACGTTGTAATAGTCACACATTTACTTGGACGTCTGATGGAGAGACAATCAAATTGACCATATTTTGACAGATAGAGAACTGCATTCAAATGTACTTGCCCAATCTTTCAGGGGAACAGACTGATACTGACCACTCCCTGGTCCTGGCAAACATTAGAGAGAAACTGGCAATAAGGAAACTAACAATGCAAACATTTGATATAGAGAGGTTCAGTCTCAAGAAACTAAATGAGGCAGAGAGTAAAGAACAGTAATGAGTTGAAATCTGAAATAGGTTTGCAGCTTTGGAAAATGTAGATGATAGTGTGGACATGAGTAAATCTTGAGGAACTATTAGAGAGAATATCAAGAGCTCAACCAAAGAGAGTTTAGGTTATTATGAATTGAAGCTGAATAAGCCATGGTTTGTTGAAGGATGTTCAAAACTATTAGGTCATAGGAGACAAGTCAGATTGCAGTCTTTACAGGATCAAAGCCAAATAAATGGGAATAGAATGTAAGATGTAAAGCTAGCAGACATTTCAGGAACTAGAAGAGGGACTATCTGAAAGATAAAATTAATGAGCTTGCAACCCATAATAAAAACAAGAACATTAGAGACCTATGTAGAAGAATAAATCAATTTAAGAAGGGTTATCAACCTACAACTAACTTAGTAAAGGATGAGAATGGTGATGTACTTGAAGATTCCCGCAGTATTTTGGATAGGTGGAAGAACTGCTTTTCTCAGATATTGATTGTTCATAGGGTGAGTGATGTTGGGTAGATTGAAATACATACAATTGAGCAATTCCTTTTGAGGATGAAGATGCTATTGCAAAAGTGAAAAACAAAAAATCACCAAATAGTGATCAAATTATAGCAGAACCAATTCAAGCAAGAGATGCGACATTACAATCTGAAATCCATAAATTTATTAATTCTATTAGGAACAAGCAAGGATTTCCTGATCAGTAGCAGGAGTACATTATTTTTCCAATTTACAAGAAGGGCAGTGAAACACTAGTAATTATTGAGGAATATCACTGTTATCAACTTGAAAGTACTGATAAAATTTTTTGCATGTGTCAGATACTGGAGGAAAATGTGAGTGCAATGAGACAGTACATCAGCTATTGATAGACTTCAAGAAAACCTTTATGTTTCAGTTAGGAAGGAGGTATTGCACAATATTCTCATAGAGTTTGGGGTACCCATGAAACTAATTACGCTGATTGAAATGTAATTAAATGAGATTTATAGGTAAACATTTGTGTGATACATTTCCTATGTAAAATGGTCTAAAACAATGATGTGCTTTATTGCCATTGATTTCAACGCTGCTTTAGAATATACCATAAAGAAGGTCCAGGAAAACCAGGTGGGACTAAAATTAAATGGGGCACATCAGCTGCTGGCCTATGCTGATAATGTGAATCTACTGGGAGGTAACAGAGGTACCATAAAGAAAAACACAGAAACTTTAATTGACTCTAGTAAGGAGGTTGGTCTAAAAGTAAACAAAAAAAAAGTATATGTTAATGTCTCACTACTAGGATTGGGGGAAGAAATATAAAGATAGCTGATAGAGCCCTTGAAAAAAGTGTGGCACAGTTCAAATATTTTGGAATAACAGAAACGGATCAGAATTTGATTCACTTGTGATTTAGTTTAGAAGGGTTTGTCTTCTGATCTGCTGTTTAAATATATAGAAGTTAAAAATATATAAAATTATAATTTTGCCTGTAGTTTTGTATGGGTATGAAATTTGGTTTCTGACATTAATGGAGAAATATAAACTGAAGGTGTCTGAGAACAGAGCACTGAGGAGAATGTTTGGACTGAGGGGGGGGCCTGAAATAATAGGTCATCAGAAGTTGCATAATGAGAAGCTTCATAACTTGTACTCTTTGTGAAATATAATTAGAATTCAAGTAAAGGAGGGTAAGATGGACAGGGCATGTAACATGCATGGGGAGAAGAGGAATGCATAAGGGGTTTGGTAAGAAAGCCAGAAAGAAAGAGACCACTAGGAAGAACTAGATGTAGGTGGGAAGATAATATTAAAATGGATCTCAGAGAAATAGCACGAGGTAGTATGGACTGGATGGATCTGGTTCAGCATATGGACCAGTGGAGGGCTCTTGTGATTATGGTAATAAACCTTTGGGTTGAATAAATTATTGAGAAAACCTTGAGAGGCTTAACAACTGGCATCTTCTCAAGAAGGACTCAGCTCCATGGAATTAGTTTGTTCATTAGTCGTTGGTGGTATATGGTTATCAACACAGCAGTAAAAATGAACCAATCAAATTGCTCACATTGTTTTTTGGGGGGGGGGGAAGTTGCTACTTGTCCCCATTTGGGTCCATCTTCAGGCAGTCTCATCAAATACATCTCTTGTTATTGAAATGGCCTAATATGGATCCATATTAGTGCTACTCGTCACAATTATGTAACACATGCAAGTGTCACAATGTTGCAAGAATTTTTCTAATTTTCAAAATTTAAAAATATATAAAATTCTCTTGTCGCTGAGTGTAAAATTCTCCATTGTTTTTGGGTTTATGTCTTGCATTGTAGGTTGTCCTATGCCTGGTGTTCATTGTTATTCTGTATGTTATATATAGATGCTATTCAGGATAATGCTATTAGTTTTTAGTATGTTCTCAGTTGTCTTCTTTGGTATGTTGCTGTGATTTTTGTTCCCCCCGCTCCGCCCCTTTAGGGTGCACTGTGTATTCCTTTTTGTGTGGATGTTTTTGTTGTTTCTGTTCCTGGTTACAGTGTGGACTGGGTCCAATCATGATACACAGCAGGATGCAAATAATGAAGATCCTTCATTAGATAGTTAGTGGTTGGCATATGGAGATAATGTCTGTCTCACATATTTCTTTTGTGTATATCTGAATTTGTCTGAAATTTTCCAAGTTACCCACATGAAATAATAATAGTGAGAGTAAGAATCTGCCAATTAGTGGTGCTGGGAAGAGATGTTGAGAGATATCTGTTTCAGTCACTTGATTAGGAATGATGTGCTGAAAAAGATTCTTAATTATCATGTGATTATGCAAGGTGGTCCTCATTTTACTTTGTTGGTGGTGGTATTTGTATTTGTTTTTATTTTTATTGCTAGAGGGAGTTAGGAAGAGAAATGATAAAAGAGATCTAACCATCACTTGGATAGGAAGGGAGGTGAGGAAAAGATTTTTGCTTACACTGTGTGAGTCTGGGTAGGTGAAATTCAGGAGTTGTCAAGTGATATTGGTCAAATGGTAGGTTCGAAGGGGGGAAGAGGTGAAATGAGGCTTTATGAACACTCAACTATTGAACTACCTTCTGAATCATTTCATGAATGAACTCTCTTTTATAACCTGGGGCAAATCGACCAGAGAAAAGTACATGTATTATTCTGTTATTATTCATTGTCGTGGAAACGTGTTTTGGCAAGCCATTGGATAGCAATGGACTTTCACTCTGTTTGTTGCTGCGGGAACATGCATTTGGCGAACTGTTGCCTGACAATGGACTTCCACTCTGGCTCCATTATTCCAGCTTTCAGGCTTCATGTCACACTATTATTGATTTCAAATTCTATCTAAGCTTCTTGGTATGAGATTCTGCTTCAAGTTTAGAATTTTCCTCAAAGATTGGAAACATTATTAAGACTGTGTTTGCTCTGCATGTAGGTCAGCACTACTATCTCAATGTGTACACAAAGGAGAGCCAGTGGGATCGTCCAGAGAAGCCAGCTGAACCTGTGTCAAGTAGTGGACCAGACCAGGTCCAGTGTAGCCATCTGTTGGTGAAGCATCAGAACTCTCGACGGCCGTCATCTTGGCGAGAAGATGAAATAACACGCACCAAAGAAGAAGCTTTGGATCTAGTGAAATGTAAGTCACCTAGTGCATATACTCTGTTGTAAACAAGTTGCCTTCTTAAACAGGTTTGCAGTATGTGATGTGTGTAATGTTTGTTGATGTTTTCACAAACATGAGGAGAATACCTGTTATTTGTACAAAAATGTAATAGAAATGGTATTATTTTTCTCCTTTATTTTAAGAAGAATTGTGGAATGTACGTGGAAGAATGTTGCTTATATGTGATGTATGTATCTTAAACCCCCAGCTTATCGAGAGCAGATTGTTTCTGGCCGGGCTTCCTTTGCTGAATTGGCACAGAAGTTCTCAGACTGCAGTTCTGCTCGTCGAGGTGGAGACCTTGGTCCATTTGGACGAGGTGCCATGCAGAGGCCATTTGAGCAAGCAGCATTTGCTCTAAAAGTTGGGGAACTCAGTGAGCCAGTGACGACTGACTCTGGGGTTCACATCATTCTGCGTACTGCTTAACTTGCCATTCGTAAAGCCAGTGGGGTCCATTGTGACTGTACAATACCACTGTTTCATTCCAGCAGTCAGGACCACACTGTATTTCTTCCAAACTTCAGCTCAATTGATTGTGTTGTTCTGTTAATTTCTCAGATGTATCTGAGTTACGAGAGACTATTTTATATTAAGTTAATGTATTACTGTAACAAGAGTGTTTTGTTTCTTTACCCCACATCACGCAGGGCACAGGACTCAAGCAACTAGGTTTATTTCAAGCTAATAAGCCACGGCCAAGTCCTGCATGCCAGTTAGCATATCTCTTCCAATTTATGTTTAATGTTTTGTAATACAGAGTTAAAGCCAAGGACATGAATGGAAAACTACTTTAAGAGATCTTCATTATGTATTTAAATTGTTATGACTGCAGCAGGATTTTAGATATGCAGGTGATACAAATTCCAGAGAAGTACTGGATAATTATCGTTTAATAGGCATAAGACAGAGAGAATGTCATTTTATTCTGAAATTATTAGGATCTTTAAGTTGACAATTCTGACTTCAGTAACCTGTAAGACAGTTAGGTCATTCTAAGTAGGATAAATACAATAATAAGCATTGTATGTGTCATTGAAAGAGTGATATTTATATTCTTTGAAAGCTCACTTAGATACCTGTGGAGTTAGTGCCAAGACAAACTTTTTGTGCTGTGAGATTTTAAGTACAGTGTTGCATGCCCCATTTTGTTGGGGGAATGGTTCCTGGAGAATAGGAGTAGCCAATCAGAACTGGGCTTAAGGAAGAGAAAACTGGGTCATGAGGGGACCAGTGGGAACATGGGCCAAGAAAAGGCAAATAAGTCCAGGACAGCAGGCACTGAAGATATAATCATCTGTGACTCATACCCCCATCTGCCTTGTATTACCTGTTTATGTCCCAAATCAACTGACTTCAACCCTGAATACGAAGACAACTATCTTCTCTTTCCTCTGACGTTTCTGATCTTACATAGGTCATCTAACAGCCAAGCCTGTCCATCTGTTTCTGTCTTCCACACACTTCTCCATGTCAGTCTCTTCCCATGTTCCTTTATTCTGTGTGACATCTTTCCTAACCTGATGTTTCCGTCTTGATCATCATGTTCCTTTTGGGCGTTTTCCTTCTGGTTTCATGTGCAGAACCTTTGAGCTTCATGAAGGCACTGTATTTCTCCAAAACACTGATAACCACCTACCAGATTACACAGTGTCATAATGCAGAATATGAGTCATCACTCCTCTGCTTCTTGCTGGCCCTCTGTGTCACTGCTGAATCATATGGTTAACCCTGTGCACAAGAGCTTCAAAACATTTCTCCCAACATCCATTTATATCTATAGTTATCATTATTTGGAAGGCAGCTGTTGAAGACTTTCACAGTTTGATATTTAATTTAAACTATGGAGAAAAGTTGTATTTTTTTTCAGTAGAATTGTTAGCAATTTTGTGTTCTTCTCTGGTCTTGATGTTCGTTTGTTTAAGATATGAATCTGCTACTGGCAGAGTCACTCATCAGGACACATCCTATATTGCACTGCCCTAAATTGTACTGGTGACAGGAGTATGGATATCACACACACTGATAAACATATAGAATATTTTCCTTTCCATTTGTCTAAATATTAACATACTTCATAATTCTGAAATAAATAGTAAGTTACAGATCTTAGCATGGTTTATATTTTATTACATATTCTTTCTTTTCAAAGGTGGTGCCATTTTTGCAATATTCACAGCAGAATTCATACACGACAGCTCAGTAACTATCCCTTACATTGATAGAGATTGTTACTAACAAGCCAGTATGTTCTGAATTCATGTGACTTATCATTAGGGACACGTACAATAGAGTAGGTTACTAAAGTTTATGAAATATGAAAATGTAAACTTCAGTAGCCCCTGATGATGTGTCATGATGTTTTAAACATGTTGGGTTGAATGTAATGTATACGAGTATCTCAAGCATTGAATTGGATGTTTATTGAACTATCTTGAACATTTTTTAAAATGTGATGGAATTCTGTTTCATATGGTGCAGATATTATGTGTCACTAGACTGAACCAATTTAATATATTTAATGTAGACTGTGATACATAATTTTAATAGAAACTGTTCTATGCTTTTTGAGGAGTAAGGAATCTATGAATACACAAATAAATGTGGCCACCCTGTTATGAGCTCTTTTTTGTACTCTTCTTGCAAAGAATTATTAAAAAGAATAATGTAAACTCATAAGTAATGATCTCAAAACTAAGTTTTTAGTTATACGAGAATGTTGCCATTAATGTACATGGCAGTAATGTGTGACACTGTTTTATGTTTTTTTTAGATATTAGATTACTCTCTTCTGGCCTGTGACACAGTGTAATTCAGTAGAAGGGTACAGACATTTTTGTTCTCATCTTTAGGGTCCTGAAGATTGAAGTAGTAGGTTCCTCTGGTATGTCAGTGCGTTTCTACCAAACTACCTGGTATCATATCCGAGAAGACCATAATCTTAATATTCACTGCTATGAAATATCAGCTCTCATGTTAGATCATGGCACTTTTACTTCTATAGGTACTTCATAAGCCTCGAATCATAGGTGATATTGGAGTTTTGACACAACTGTTACAGTATGCTCAGTAAGTACACTACGCATGCCGATGCAAATGTGTAAATGATTTTGTCATTCCAGAAGAGTGATGTGAATTTTTTATGGTATGATCTCACTGCATACAGTAACAATTTTCTCTTGAAGAAGATTCTGCTTCCCATGATTTGAAACTTTTGGAATATCCTGTGGAACAGAACAATGCTACATCACGAAAGCCAGCGCAGAACATACCATGATGTCATCTTGGCCATGTCTGAATACTTACTCAAAACAGTAATTCTTGTTCCTGTGGCATACTAACGGTCATAAAAAGAAGTTTAAAAGTACATTTGCAGTCATACTAATGAACCAGGAAACTTACAATGGGGAGCTATGGTAAATGTGGTTTTTAATCTGTCCTCTTCATATTATTACCACTAAAGCTCTTCCAAAATTGATATTTGTCTTTAATCACTGTGTTGACTTAGCTATTACACAAACTTCTTCAGGCATAAACTCAGTGTTTTGCACCATGCATAGAAAGTTGGTACATTCCACCAGTTCTTATCAGCCATAGCAATACACTCCATCCTACTCTGCCCTGTGTCTTCTTCCTTTGTACTTCCTAGCTCTAGAAGCTTGGCTTTATGACCACAATATTATCATCCAACAAAGAGAAGGCAAGGAAATTGTTCAACCTTAACCTTCCTGCTCTTCATTCATCAAAGCATTGAGTTACAAATGTCAATGACATCAGTTGTGTGAAAATTATCTTAATGTTTCCAGCTTGCACATTAACCCATAGGTTGTAATCGCCTTGCCATTTCTTTGTTGTTAAGATTGTAACTTGGACTCTTAGCAATAAACCAGTGTTTTGATGAATCCCTGGAAAAATGTTTTCATGACTGTGGTCATACTGAAGTCATCAAATTTTTTAAACTTTCTTGCATCTCATAACTGGGTCAGTGTATCAGCAAGCTACAGACTGAACAGTTATCAATCAAGGTTCTATGCCTGGCAGGGAAAGACATTTTTCTCCTCTTCCTAATGTCCATACTAGCTGTGAGGCCCACCCAGCCTCCTGTATAATGGGTACTGGAGGCTCGACCACTGGGAATACTGTGACATGTTGATAAGCACTCACCCTCACCTGGTGCTGAGTTTAAGCAATCTCTGATCTTATCTCCACCACTCCACACACTTTCATGGCATTGCGCTTAATTAATTAAGCAGAAGCACACCCTTACATTACTTATAACATCTCACATCTCACCTTGGAAATGTATCTCCGTAGTTCAGCAACTGTGTTGCTTAAACAGTTAACTAGAATTTATTGGCCTAAACCAGTCATCTTGGAGCATCAGACTGAATCATCTTTATTTACATTGATTCCTGTCATATATCTGTTGTCATATCTTATATTGCTTTATTTTTCTTTCTTGCAGAAGTACCAGTGTAGAATGTCAGTTGTTAACAAATATTATATGTTACAGTAAATAAATAAAAATGATTAAGATGTTTAGTTGTTCAGTGTTTTATTAAGACTGACCTGATCACAGTACAGCAAAATATAATGATACTTCCCCCTTGAGGTGTGGTGCCATGTAATCTGGAAGATGTTTATTGGCATTCCAGAAAAACATGTTGCTTCTATCTTCAGAGCAGAAGAATGAGGTATGTGTGAAAAATGTGGTACAGACACAGGGATTCAGAGTGCTGGAACAAAGTCTCTGAGCAAACCAGTAAGAGTAAAGAGGACACAGAAAGAACATGGATCCCTTCAAAGGATTGAATTTTGGGCCCCAGTCATGATGTCACCTCTCCCAGCTGGCTGATCTTTTACCCTGAAGATGGAGGCAGCATGCTATTCTGAAACATCAGAAAATATCTGTCAGACAGCATGGCACCTCGTGCCATCTTCATGGTCACTGCTGTGAGAATCTCAGATCTCACATACTTCCCCTTTTCTGAATGGAATTACAGGTGTGCATTTTTCAAGACAATTTTTGTTGCCTTTAGAAAGGGGGGGGGGATTATAGTCTGCCATTAGATCCCTCCTGCCAAGTTCAAAATGACTTTAAACAAAACTACAGTGTAACCTCGCTTAACGAGCATAATTCGTTCCAGAATCTTACTCGTAATGCAAAACACTCGTTAAGCAAAACAGTTTTTTCAATATAAATTAATGTGAAATATGATAATGCATTCCATGCCGAAAAGAATACTAAAAAAATTTTATGTATAACGTTTATTCAAAGAAAATTAAATATACATTGTTAAGGAGCGTGAATCATCATCTTTTCTTCTATGTGGAAAGACCCAACCTGGAATGTGAATTCGATTTGCAAGAAACAAAAAAAAAATCGAAATAATTAGTTTATTATTTATGATACATATCTAATTCTTTTTTACTAGAAAGCTGTCTAGAGACATTTGTTTTTGCCGACGCTTCAAAATTTGGTGAAAATGCGACACAGCATTGTCATTAAATAAATTTGTAGTGCACACAGCCACGGCCTTATTAGGGTGATGCTTCTCAATGTACGATGCAACAGTTTCCCATGCTTTCAGCATTTCTCTTATTGCGGCAGAAGATTGTTGCTTTGCTGTTACCTCCTCCCCCTCCTCTGACAAACTCTCCTCCACAACTTCTTGCTGTGTAACACAATGCAACTCCATAAGCTCTTCAGTGGTCAGCTCTTGGCTGTTTTCTTCCACAAGCTCATCGATATCATTGTTATCCACCTCCAGCCCCATGATCTTGGCCAAAGACACAATCTCGTTGACTACAGGCTCCACAGGTACCATCTCAAACCCCTCAAAGTCACATTCGATAACACTCTCCAGCCAAAGCTTCTTCCAAGCAGAAGTGAGGGTTCTCTTGATAACCCCTTCCCACGCCTTTTCGATCATCTTGAGGCAGGCAGCGATGTGGAAGTGATATTTCCAAAACTCTCTGAGAGTGAGATTGGTCCCTTCAGTCACTTCAAAACAACGCTCAAAGAGTGCTTTAGTGTACAGTTAGAAATAACCTGCTGGTCCATAGGCTGGAGTAACGGAATGGTGTTGGGAGGCAGAAACTGGATCTTGATGAATTTATATTCTTCAAGGAGGTCATCTTATAGGTCTGGAGAATGGGCAGGAGCGTTGTCCATAACAAGCAAGACATGGAGTGGCAGATTCATCTCAAGCAAATATTTTTTCACAGAAGGACCAAACACTTCATTGATCCAATCAGTAAAAAGGTCATGTGTCACCCAAGCCTTGTTGTTGGACCTCCACATCACATTTAGCCTGCTTTTCTGGACTTTACACTTCTTGAAGGCTCGTGGAGTTTCTTAATGGTACAGAAGCAGCGGTTTAATTTACTGGATCACTGATTGAGGCTAGCTCTTTCTAAGGGACCCAACAGAATACTCGTAGGTGTTTTCCCTCACATGAGGACGGAAACAGATCCAGTTTTCGAAACGTCGTGTTTTTCTTAGTTATCTTAAAAACCAGGACGATGGATAAAGTCCAAAAACCCAATATCTCTGAAAGGAGGAAGTGTTTTGTTGATTTTTCTTTGTGTGATGAATGGTGCTCTGTGAACTGTATTTGTATTTAAGTGGTGCAGATTTTGAATATCAGCCAGGATGGCAGCTATTCTGACAGGGTTCTTATGGTTTTCCTCAGTCCCTGCAGACAAATGTTTGAATTGTACCTTAGATTAGACTACAGCTACTTCATTCTGCATCCTTTTGAATTCATTCTGTACTGGTCATTCTATGTTACTTGATGCTAAATATTCTGAGATACTGATACCATCATTTAATATATCATTAATAAATAAGGTTATGTTTTAGGTTGTGACATTGTAGTTGTGTAGACAGGAATGGTATCATATGTAAGACTACATGGTGTCACAACACAGAAAATTATCTTCATATTCATTGTTGTGAGAACCTCAGATTTCATGTAAATAAATACATTTATCTACTGCATATGAACAGGAAATGGTGAATAACAAGATGATTGCAGAATAATATGGGATGGAAGTAAGCAATAGTGGACTGCTTTACTCATAATAATCCTGTAGATGGGACAAGAAAACAGAGATCACTTTAATAATTCAAAACATTGCATAATTTCTTATTTATGCATTATTGTCCCAATTTTGATATTGTATTCTTGAGCATTGCCATGAAAAATGTTAGGTCAGTAGATGAATGTCTTCCAGATACAAATTAGCACCGAACCACCCTCTTCTGTGGGTCTAATCAAAAGGTGTTTTCTTGTATCATGATGCTTGAAGATGGAACCTGACAATGCTGCAGTTCTGAATTATGTGATGTACCAGAAAATAACTTTTCCATTTCCTGCTGTTCAAAGATATGAAATTTACTTCCTGCTTTTACCAGTATGTGTGGTAGCTATAGTTGCTAAAAGTTATGTGCAGGTATTGTGGTGTAGGTTTTAGATGCAAAATCCTCAGTTCCTCTCTTCTTTTTAACCCACATTCTTTATTCTGAAAAACTAAAAAGAGGATTGTGAGATCACCTTGCTGCTGGTCCTTTCCAGCACAGTCATTCTTGGTTCTTGGGTCCTGTGGATCTCATGACCGCATTTTACGGTCTCACAACTCTGGGAGTCGAGAAATTCCTAAAGCATGAGCAGAGGCCTGTCCTCTTTATATAACTTAAGACCATAACACAGAGAACACACTGCCACCAACAGTTCCCCATTTGTTAGCCTACTTTCCGTGTGTGTCTGTAGGCATCCCCCTATTGTTGCTAGGCAGCTGCTCGGTAAACATGTTCCGACAGCAACGAATACCCATCCAAAAATAGAATTGTTGGATGCATCATTTTCTAAGCAGTCTATGTCATATCAAAGGAAAGTAGGTGATTAGTTCCTACCAGAACTTACTGTTTACTATACTCGTATGAAATAACTTTAATTTCTTAATTTTAGGGTTATTCCTTCTCTGAAGTTTTAGCCACTATATACATAGGTTAGTCAATAAGTAAGTTACAAATGGATATAGAACTTAAACAAATAAGAGTACTGATTTGAAAAATGCTTTTATTTCTCAATATAATCTTCTTGTGCATTAAGGCACTTGTCCCATCGTTTCACAAGCCCCTGAAAGCCAACAACATAACATTCTTTGGGCTGCTGTCAGAACCAGGCGTGTTGCTCTTGTATGACAATGCGCATACCCATACTGCCAACAAGACAAATGAGACACTGTGAAATTTCAAGTGGGAAGTCCTTGAGCATCCTCCACATAGCCCCGACCTTGGTCCAAGCGACTTCCATTTGTTTGGCCCTCTTAAACATCATCTATTGGCTGAACATTTTCCCGACGATGAAGTTGTAGAAAGGGAAGTCACTGCCTGGTTCCAACAGCAGCCCAAAGAATTTTATGCTGCTGGTTTTCATGGGCTTGTGAAACAATGGGACAAGTGCCTCAATGTACAGGGAGATTATGTTGAGAAATGAAAGCACTTTTCAAATCAGTGCTCTTATTTCTTTAAGTTCTATATCCATATGTAACATATATTGACTTACCCTCGTATTATGATATTGACAAAGAAAGCATCCACATTTCAGGCAAAGAATGGATACTTCATTAATATAATATATGTCAGAAAACATATGCTAGTAAAATTGTACAAGATGACTAACTCCATGGAGCCGATTCCTCTCTGAGAAGCCACCAGCCACTAAGCTACTCAAGAAGTTTGCAGTACTTTATGGAACCTGAAAGTTCATTACTGTATTCACACAAGCCCTCCAATGGTCCCTATCCTAAGCCAGATGAATCCAGTCTGTACGACCCCAATCCTATTTCTCTAAGAATCCATCTTGATATTATCCCCCATTTCTTTCTCTCTTTTCCATCAGATCCCTACATGCGTTCATCTTCTCCCAATGCATGCTGCATGCCCTGCCATCTCATTCTCCATGACCTAATCTTTCTAATTATATTTATTGAAGAGTACACGTTATGAAGTTCCCCATTATCCAGTTTTCTCCAACCTCCTATTATTTCATCCCTATTCATTCCAAATATTTTCCTCAGCACCCTGTTTTCAAATATCTTCAGTCTATTTTCCTCCCTTGATGTCAAAGGCCAAGTTCCTCACCCATACAAAACCACAGGCAAAATTACTGTCTTAATGCTTGCGATTTGTTCATTATATACATTAGTCAGTAGTTACAAATAGGAGAAGAAAACAGCAGCAATAGATTGCTGTGTGGTGTGTGTTGGATTGGTTTTTAGTGTCCACCTTTGCTGGAAGAAGGTCATAATATTTCTACATATACCAACACTGCTTAATGAGTATTGTTACTCTATCTTGTTTACTATCTTACCATAAATGTAGCTCTGTTTCCAAAGCCCTTCAAGAGCATACATATTAAGTTGTGATTTCACAGTGTCCCTCAAGAGCTAGAATGTATAAGAGTGGATCACAGTGAAATAGGTCAGTGTGACCTGTATGTTGGTAACTGAAACAGTTCCAAATTCAAATTTCAACA